TAAACCTTCTCATAATGGCAGCTCTATTAGGGATTGGTGATGGAGTTTTCAACACACAGCTCAGTGCTCTGATTGGAATATTCTTCAAGGACGATACGGTATCAATTTCACCACACTTTTTGCCTAATCTTTCTCCTTTATAAGTTCTGTTATTCATGAACTTCAGAATCAAAACCACTTGTATTTACAATCCGACCCGAATCTGTTGCTTTCGGGGGAAATGCAGGAAGGAGCATTTGCACAGCTCAAGGTGTGGCAGTGTAGTGCTGTTGCACTCATCTTCTTCATCAGTCCATACATCTCATTGCAAGCAATGCTGGTGCTTATGCTGTCTGCAATCTGCCTCTCGTACGCCGCCTTCGTTTACCTATCCCAGCAAGGAGAGAAAGCACTCTCACTTCAAGTTCAGGTTCAAGTTCAGGCTCAGGTTCATGATGTGTGCACATGAATGAAAACATCTTTAAAGAGAATTGTGTCATAGGCATAGCAATACAAGTTTTTATATTTTTTTTATGTTGGTGCTGTCTCTAAATACCATCCCCTCTGTTGTTTCTAAAACTAATGGAAATGACCATTATACCATCACAAACACACCACCATACTGTCGACAAGCACTCAGAAGTCGGTTCAAGTCCACTTCAAGAGGATGGACTTCTAAATTTCCAATTTTTGTTTTCTTTTGTTCTTTTGTTCTTTTGTTTCCACCTATAAGATCTATTTTTGAACTGATTCTCTTTCAAGTCTATTGGGAGACAAATAAAATTGAACTCTCTGGTGCAAGAGTTTTTTTCTTTTTTCTTTTTCAGGACTACTATTGTGTTTGTTATTTATGGTATATTTGTTTTCTATTTCAGTAGCGTGTCAACATTGGAAATAGATATACTACTAGACCGAGAACTAGTTTACATAAGTATCTTTTTCGACCCATCTACGATTATGCATAAAGAAGGCTAAATTACATTTTTAGCCTATGTAGAGTAGCCCAATTTTCACTTAAAAGTCCCTATAATTGTCTCTCTCGAAAGAAAAAAAAGAAGTCGTCCGTATAAAGCTATTTCTCATCAAAGCAAAATCAAAAGCTACTGTCCACCATGAAGTTGACGGAGTGTCGACATGGGGATATGTAAAATACCCAAAAAGTCGACATGGGGCTAAAACTGTAATAAATAAATTAAAAAAACCTGCAATTATGTGTTGGCGGCAACAATAACGAATTGATTAGCAAAACGTCCGTCCGGCGTTTGTCGTTGTCTTCCTCTTCTTCTCCAGCAACTGTTTGTCGTTTCCTGAGATTTCTTCGGTGGATACAAAGGCATTTCTTTACCGCTTGATTCCAGACCATCCCAACCGACAACAACGAAAATTCAGAGAATCATTTCAACTATCTTTTCATTTTCACTACATTCTCTCAGCAACCAAACAGTGCTCAGAGTTTATGAACTCAAAATTGAACCCAAATTGAAAGTCAATCTCTTTCTTTGTCAACTACCTCTCGATTTTCTTCGCCGGCAGTGACCTCTCCTCTTGGCCTCACTCGATTGGAATTTGGACTCTCTCGCACATGTTTAGGGTTTTATAGCGATTCTGTGATAAACTGTATAGAGAACTCAAAGTATGGAGTCTGCGGATTTTCGTAGTGAAGAGACGCCACTTGTCGTCGAAAATTCGCCGATCCAAAGCCGGAGGAAGCATACAAGAGATGTTCATATTCTCAGCTCTGCCTTCTTGTTGATTTTCCTCGCTTATGGTGCCGCTCAGAACCTGGAGACCAGTCTCAACACTGTGAGTTTAAAGTTTGAATCTTTAATTGAAAAAAATTGCTTTCGCTTTTTCAAAATTGATTTGGTTGATAATTTGGGACTGTGATTTTGGGTTCAGGAGGATGATTTGGGTACCATTTCACTTGGGATTTTGTATTTGTCTTTCACGTTTTTCTCTTTGGTGGCGTCTCCGGTGGTTCGAGCATTGGGATCAAAGAATGCTTTGCTTCTTGGGACTACTGGCTACTGGTTGTTCATAGCTGCAAATTTGAAACCAACTTGGTATTTACTAATTTGCTTGTATACATACTTACATGCATAAATGCATCACAATGCATATGTTTATTTGTTGAAGTATTTCCATGTAGGTATACAATGGTTCCAGCTTCTTTGTACATGGGATTTGCTGCTTCAATTATATGGGTTGGGCAGGTATTAAGTCTCTTTTTAGTATTTGGTGGTTAAAGCTAGAAATGTTGTTTTCTGAACTTAGTTTGGGTCTATCAGGGGACATATTTAACTTCTACTGCGCGTAGTCATGCCAGAGATGATAACTTACATGAAGGAACAGTTATTGGTCATTTCAATGGAGAATTTTGGGGAATGTTTGCCTGTCACCAGGTGAATCTGTTGGATCTTTTCTAGGGAGCATATATGTATGATTTCACTGAAAGTAATCTCTCTTATTGATGACTTTGTGTTACTTTAAACTTTTGCAGTTTATTGGAAATCTTGTATCACTCGCCATGCTAAGAGATGGAACAGTATGTGCCACTGCCATCCTTGTAGTTGAACTTGTGTTTTTCTTGTCCTTTCTGTTCATTTTATTCACTCGTTAGACCCCACAAGTGTGATGGCCCTAGTTTTGTAAGCTTTCAGAATACGGATTTTGACACAATGCATCAAGTTTTACTGTTCCCTCCTCTTTCTGATTTCTGATTTTGAATTTATTCTGTGTTTTGAAATTATGTGCCTTTATAATATTGTCCTTCCCATCACTGCAGGGGGGAAGTACTAGCGGCACAACCTATTTGTTCAGTGTGTTTCTCATCAGTATGACTTTAGGTACCATACTGATGTGCTTCTTACATAAAAGGGATGGTAAAGGAGAGGAGGACCCCCAGAGCTCTTCTCTCAGCTTTTATGCTTCTCTATTATCTGTGTCAAAGTCAATCATCACTCCTTTGTTTGATGTACGGATGCTATTGATCATCCCCCTCATGGCGTATTCAGGATTACAACAAGCATTTGTGTGGTAATTACTTGACCAAGCTGCTGCCTACTTTGTTATAGCCAAAAGAATATCACTTGATTTATTCTGATTCTTCTTTTGTTTGTTTCATTATTAAGCATTGCAAAACTATTCTTATTTTAGGGCTGTATACACCAAGTATATTGTTACTCCAACGCTCGGTGTGTCTGGTGTTGGTGGTGCAATGGCAGTTTATGGGGCTTTTGATGCAGTAGTAAGTATATATGCAGATACAAGTAGTTTGCATCATTATTTTCAATACAGTGTGTACCATTAGTTAGCTCAGTGGACATAGCATTCAAAATCGATATTTTGGTTGATTCAAATGCTAATGCAAATTGAGCATCTTTTATGTTGTCTTGTTCTTTTTTTGGGAGTGGCAGAAACGTGGAAACTTAATTATTAGAAAAAACTTTCCTCCGCACTAGTCTTCTTTTGGGAGTGCCTAGGGGGGGTGTGTTAACTTCAGTTCTTGCTGCCACAACCAATAACATACATTTCTTCCCTTTGCCTGATCATGGCTTTTCTTTATTAGACCATTTCTTGGATAGCAAGAGCTTTTCTTGATATTGCATATGCATGCTCAATATGTGGAGTTAAAGGCATACATTCTCTTCCAT